ACCTATTAATTTTGTATGGGGAAGAGATCATTTGCAAAGCTGAGCTCTATGAAGAAGAATGCAGTATCAGGATTGAAGGAAGACTCATCAAAAACCCTGCATTATTCAGATGACACAACCTGCATCCGTTGCAGGTCAAGGACGGAAGCCTTCAATGTAGATTTCATCTGAACATGAAGAAACAAAGATCCTCAACCCCCAGTCCATTAGGCAGTATTATGATCGATGGAGAAAGGATTTAAGTTGTTGATTATTTCATCTAACTTGGATGCAGAACCAACACCCTTGGCACCAGCAATCTGGAAATTGAAAGACGAGTTGCAGTGGGGAAACCTGCTGTCAAGGATCTCTCCAGAGTACTAAAGAGCAACAGTGTCCATCAAGAGACAAAGGTGCTCAAAGCAACTATGAGATATCATCTCACCTCAGTAAGAACAGCAAAATTTAACAGAACAGCAAGCCGCAAATGCTGGCAAGGTTGTAGAGAAATTAGAACCCTTATTCACTGTTGGTGGATGTTTAAAATGGTGCAACCATTGTGGAAGGCGGTATGGCACTTTCTCAAAAAGTTGCAAATAGAGATAGCATTTGACCCAGCAATTCCACTACTGGGACTATACCCCAAAGAGATAAAAACTGACATCCAAGCAGATCTATGCACACCCATGTTTATTGTGGCTTTGTTCACAATAGCAAGGAGTTGGGAACAACCTAAGTGCTCATCAACAAACAAATGGATAGAGAAGCTGTGGTATATTCACACAATGGAATAAGAGGCAGCATTGAAAAACAAGGAACTCATGCAATATTATTCAAAATGGGTGACCCTGGAGGACATTATGCTGATTGAAGTATCTCAGTCACAAAAGGACAAACACTGTATGATGCCACTGTTGAAAAGCGGGACTGACCTCAGGGTTGAGGGGAGACTGAGAAAGATGGGTTTAATGATGTATACTGCATTGAAACAGACGAGGGAGAAAACTGTTGAAAAGGAATATGTGATTAGGTATTTTTGTTATGATGGGAGTTTGGAGTGAAGGCTGCATAGTGGAGTGGACATGGGGGGAGGGATTGTAAAACAGTGAAATAATTTTTCTTTTACTTTTCCAAGAGGGGAGTGTGCTGGGAGGGAAGAAAATTGTAACGATGAATGAATGGAAACCCAAAGTCTCTGTAAATTTTCATTGAAATTAATAAGAAAAAAAAATGAGACAAAGGTGCACCTGATGCAGGCCATGTTATTCTCAGTTGCTAACTGGACAGTGAAGAAAGATGACAGAAGAATTGAAGCCTTTTGAGTTGTGGTGCTAGAAAAGAATACTGCACATTGGAAAACTATCTGCAGAAGAATTAAACAAGATCCCCACCTCACTCCATATACAAAAACCAACTCAAGGTGGATTATGGACCTAGGACTAAAACCAAGGACTATAAACTTCATTCAAGAAAACCTTGGAAGAACTTTAGTAGTCCTAATCCACAACGTAAAGAGTCTTCCAAGTATTCTGAAAAATTTACAACCAGGAGAAGATAAAATAGATGAGAGGGACATTCTAAGAATCATCCCTATGCACATCTAGAAACTTCTCTACCAGGGTAAAAAGGGAAGACACAGAGTGGGGAAAAGTGTTTGGTAATGACATGTCAGATAAGGGAACTTTTTATCTAGAATTTATAAAATAGTTGAGCACCACAACAAGATAAAGGCAAATAATCCAATTGAAAAATGGGCACAAGATATGAACAGACACTTCACCAAGGAAGACATTCATATTGCTAACAAGCACATGAAGAAATGTTCAAAATCCCTAGCTCTGAGAGAGATGCAAATCAAGACAACCATGAGATATCATCTCACCCAAGACCAGAAAATTTAACAGCAAGCAACAAATGCTGGCGAGGTTGTGGAGAGACTGGAACCCTTATTCACTGTTGTTGGGAGTGTAAAATGGTGCATCCACTGTGGAAAGCGATGTGGCGCTTTCTCAAAAAGTTGCCAATAGAGATACCATTTGACCCAGCAATTCCACTACTGGGAATATACCCTAAAGAGACCATAAATGGCGTCCAAATAGATATATGCATACCCATGTTTATTACGGCTTTGCTTACAATAGCAAGGAGTTGGAAACAACCTAAATGCCCATCAACAAACGAATGGGTAGAGAAGCTCTGGTATATTCTCACAATGGAATATTATGCTGCATTGAAAAACAAGGAACTCATGCAATATTATTCAAAATGGGTGACCCTGGAGGACATTATGCTGA